GGGGGGGCGACCGCACGTTTATTTATTTATGAAGCTCCGAGCGCGCCGGGAATGTTTCTTTCGGCAGATATTATATATTTGGTTAAGGGGGTGCCTTTCTGTTGTTTAAAAGGGAGGGAAGAGGGGGTAGATGGTTTGTTCTTGGGGTCCCTGGTGCAATCTCCGCTCCTCATGGGTGCTATTTTGCAACCTCAGGCGCCTGCTATTGGTCAGCCTCTGATCAGATGGTTGTATTTCCTTGTGTCCCTCGCTGGCACCACGCCATCTCCCTTCAGCTAAAACCCAATCTCCGATATACTACTAATAGCTAAACAACTTGGACTATAAAACACAACAAATCATAAAGCCGGGGAAAGGACGGCGGGCTCTTTCCAATGAGTTCTTATTTTGTCAACTCGACCTTCCCGGTGAGTCTGGCGGCGGGGCAGGAGCCCTTCCTGGGACAGATCCCGCTCTATCCCTCGGGCTATGCGGATCCTCTGAGGCACTATCCCAGCACCTACGGAGCGACGGGCGTCCAGGAGAAGGGCTACACCTCCTCTTCTTACTACCAGCAAAGCAACGGAGCCTACAGCCGCGGCTCCGCCTGTGACTATGGGGCCGGAGGGGTTTTCATGGGGGAGGACCCTGCGTCCGCCCCCCCCAGCCTGGATGAGGTCCCCTTCGCCCCCGAGCCGCGCAAGTCGGACTGCGCGCAGAGCAAAACTGGGTTTGGAGAGAGCCAGGAGCAAAAGTGTTCCGCCCCGGTTTACCCCTGGATGCAGCGGATGAACTCTTGCAATAGTGAGTTTACTCTTTTACAGAAATAAATACATCAATCTCCTCCCCCCCTTTCTTATTTGTTACCGCCAGGGAGGGAGCGAGCGCGCGAGGGAAGCAGGAATCAGCTCCAGTTTAGAGCCCAAACTTCCAGCGGGAAGTTGGGGACAAGAGAGGCTCCAACTTGCTCCTGACACGCACCAAAACTTCAGCCGCGGAAGTATTTTCTCCCAGCACACCCCCCTCCCCCCCTACCCCCAAGCTAAAAAGTTTCCTCTGTATTTAAACCCCAAGGTAGTATTTATCCATTTCCACCATCTTTTCTAATTTTTTTTCCTATTTTTTTTTTCACATTCCAGTTTGCGTGTCACTCAGCTACACCGATTTGTCTCTGTCCTTCCCCCACACGCACAGGGAGATAGCTTTTCGAAATCAGATCTGGAGGAGTTTACACACGCACGGACCCACACTCCCACGCAAGCTCCCTCTCTCGCTGGCTGCCCGACCTGGCGTTCAATAATATGAAAGTGTTTAAATATTTGAAAGGAAGAGGGCTACATTTTTAATGAAACTCGCACATAATGAAAAGTCTGCCTGGGGAGAATTTTTTTCCCCCCTGGTGATATATGACTTCTTTAAGTGCTGTTTCCTCAATCAGAAAAAAAAATAAAAGAGGCAAGAAAAATAATAGAGGCTCACCCCTCTCCTTCCCATGTTTAGATGCATTTGTTGCCTTTTAAGTTCCAAATTGATGTCCATTAGCGCAGGGACATCAAGTGTTGTGTCCTCTTTAATGCAGAGTTTGGGCAGATCGATTCACTTCATTATTGCTTAAATGCTCCGATCTATTACAGTTGCCGGTAGGGTGGAAAATAGCGAGGGAGAGCGGGGGGGGTTGGGGGGTAGCGAGAACACCTTGCGATTTTTCATCCCGGAATAAGATAGATCTCACCCTGTCTCCCCAGCTCTGCCTGCCGTCAGCATTAATCCTGCAGCGCGGGTGCGGATCCTGCGCGGGTGCGGCCCGGCCACGGAGCCTCCCTGCGTGCACGGCAGGGCTCTTCGCCATGGGGGGTTGGGGGGGCCGTATTTTGGGGTTGGCCAAGGCCTTTGGAGGGCAGAGAAGCGAATACGCACCCCTCTGAGCACAGCCGCGGTGCGGCGCGTAGCATCCCCGCGAATTACCCAGCATCTCCGCGGCTGCACTAAACCTGGGGGTTTTCTCTTATTTTCCCTCTTCTTTTTCCTCTTCTCTCTTTTTTTTAATTTTTTTTTTTCTATTTTCTTTGCTATTTGTTTTCCTATTTTTCCCTATTTTTTGCCCATTTTCTTTTCTGTTTGTTTTCCTATTTCCCCCTTATTTTCCCCTATTTTTTCCCTATTTTTTTCCAATTTCCTTTTCTATTTGTTTTCCTGTATTTTTTTCCGGGTGTCACAGGTTCTTCCTTTGGGCCCAGCGGCCGCCGAGGCCGCCAGACCTACACCCGTTACCAGACGCTGGAGCTGGAGAAGGAATTTCACTTCAACCGCTACCTGACCCGGCGCCGGCGGATCGAGATCGCCCACTCCCTCTGCCTGACGGAGCGGCAGATCAAAATCTGGTTCCAGAACCGCAGGATGAAGTGGAAAAAAGAGAATAAATTGCTCAACTCCTCGCAACTGAGCGCGGAGGAGGAGGAGGAGAAAACGGCGGAGTGAAAGTATTATTTAAAACACACAATTAAAAAAAAAAAAGGCAAATTAAAGGGAGTGAGTGAGTGTGTGAGAGGCGAGAGGATGAGGGGGGTGTGGGCTGGCTGCGAGGACAGGGAGAAACCTGCACATTGGTGGGACGAGCCCTCTGCAACAGTGGCGAAAGCCAGAAAGTTTGGGCCACCAATGCCATGGACTCGTGTTCCCAGTGCTCACCGTGTCCAGGAAAAAAAAATCTGACCTCTAGTTGTGTTTTTTAAGTTTTTTTTTTTCCCCTCCCTACATCTCCTTCTCCTCCCAGTCCGCCCCCCCGAGATGAAGTAATAATAATTAAAAAGTAAAGAGATAGAGAGAAGGGGGTGGATATAGTAAGGGAAAACGTTAAAGAGAAAAGACAAAAAAAAGGGACTCCTACCCGTGTTTCTACTCTTGGTGTCACTGTTAGTAATCTGCTAACTCTTGTATTTAATGGAAGTGCTGCAATATATGTCATTTGGGGTGTTTATTGTCTTAATTTTGTAAAAATGTTTCATGCACGGTTGGCATAGGATTTTTTTTTTTCCCCCCCTCCTTTGGTAAATTAATCAAGCCCTGGGGTCTCTGTAATTAGTTTTTTTTTGGGGGGGTTATTTTTGTTTTATTTTTTTTAAAGGAAAAATCTACTGAAAGAACGAGTACTACCTAAAAGTATGCAAAAGCAACAACAGCAAAAGTTATATTTTATTAATTTTTGTACGTGTTGTGTTTGAAGTTTGTCTTAGGTATGCACATGGAATTCTCTAATAAAAACAAAGTCTTCGATCTCACCCACACCCCCCTGTCATTTATTATTATTTTTATTATTATTTTTCCCTTTTCCAGGGGAATTTTCCATTCTCACGGAGCCTCACTGCTCCCTGTGTGCCATTGGTTTCTGATCCGCAAGGACAAGCAGCTCCAAGCACACGGAAGTTGCAGTGGGGAGATAAATCTGGTTTTCCCTCTTTTTGTCTAATCTGAAATGGAAGACCTTTCGCCAATAGTATTTCCTCGCTGACATTTCTGCTTTAGTATCGCTCTTTTTTATTGTTACAGTACAAAGAGTTATGACGAAATGCTCTCCATATACATAATAAATCAAGGAAACAGGCAAAAATATGCTCTCATTTATCCACCAAAGATACCTAACATTTGCCTAGCATCTTTCAAACATCTGGTCCCTTACTTCATATCCCCAAATCAAAGTGAAGTGTATTGCAAAAAAAGTCCAGATTTCAAGGGAATTTGCCTTGTGAAACGAGCAGCTTCTCAGCTCCAGCAATAAACCCTGCACTTAAGGGAGGGGAAAAAAGGTGGAAGAAAATCTAAACTAAGTCTAATAAGCTCTTTTTTAAATGTAGATTTTTATTTTGACTCGAAAGCCCTTTCAAAGGCTCCTTTGGCGAGGCTGGCTTTGCTGGGGATGGGGTAAGGACGTTGCTGCTCCGTACCAAAGAGGAATCTTGTGCATGCAAATAGCAAACTTTTTCGTGGGTTTGGGAATTAAACGAAAGGAAATGCTTTTTTAATATTTTTCTTCTGCTGGGGATTTAGGTCTGGAAGCAAGCGATCAGCTCAGCTTATTTCGGATACCATTTTCTACAGCTTCACGGGGGGAAAACACGATGTAATATTATCTCCTGCTTCCCACTCCCTTTCCCCACCACCCCCAAGAAATACCTATGTATGAATGCATTCCCCCATGCCACAAGCTGGTTTAATGTCAGTCACTTTTAAAATCAATTCATGCAGAAGCTTCACAGCTGTAGGACATTTACTATTATTGCCACGCTTTTCATTGCCCGTAATTATTATAATTATATGTCACTTTCAATATGGCGCATAATTTCCAATGAGTTGCAGACAAGCATATGAAATTCCTAAACTGCCTTGGAAAAAAAAAAAAAAAGAAAGAGAGAGAGAGAAAAAAGAAAAAGAAGAAGAAAGAGAAAGTAATGCTTGATAAAACACAGCTCTTTCGCAACGCTTTTACCAATTTCAGAGTGCTTTTGCTCCCCAATATTCCTTGCAGGTTAGCAAATGGAAAGGAAACACCACGGAGCACAATGCTGGGCTCAAAGAGGACGCAAAACGCTCAGGAACAAGAATATCCCAAAAACAACGGCGTCAAACAGTTCCGCCGGCCGGACTTTTCATCTTTTTCCTTCATTTCTTCCCCCCCCCATCCCCACCCCGCCCCGTTTATTATTAAGGTGCGAGCGCAACGCCGGCTCCACGCTCAGCGTGAAGAAACCTCGACTTTTTCTGACAATAACCACGCGAAATAAACCCAAGCAGCTTTCCCCC